GCTTCAACTGGAACAAGAGGGAAAATAGTTATTTGAGAGAAATATATTTGAATTGCATATTTCATTCTTCGAAAGAGGGGATATTCTTAGATTTCTCTTCAAGTATTTGGATGATCTGATCATTTTGGAAAGGATAACAAGTGACGACTCCTTAATTACTGCTTCATAACTAATTAAAATATAGTAACACATTTTACTCACTTTGTTCACATCCCCTTATTGATAGCTTGTGGCCAGTCTGGACATGGAGGATAATTCGTCATTTTTATGCTAGCCTTTGCTTCCTTTTCTTTGTCGGTATTTAACTTGATTCGTAGATTGACCCTTCAAGGACTAACAGTTTATTCACCAAATTATTCGACGTTTCATGTTATATGTGCTAGCTAAGTAATATATACACTCCAAATGTAAGTATAAAACATTATTTAGGTGTTGTTTGATTGAGATTTTATAAAATAAAATGGATTTTGTGAGAAAGTGGTTTTTTTGGAAAATGTATGAAAAAGTTAAAAAATAAAAATAAAAATAAAAATATATATATATATATGGATTCATGTGCAAATTATTTAATTAAAAATAATGTGATTTGAATAAAAAAAAGGATCGAATATGACATCGACACAAAATCCTAAAACCCCTTTACCACCGGAATTGAATTGCAGAGAAGAATGGCATCAACAGTAGACCCAATTGAATCCTTCAAACCCTACAAGCTTAACCAAACTCTCCCAGCGCACAAACGCGCTATCTCCAGCGTCAAATTCTCCGACGATGGACGCCTCCTCGCCTCTTCCTCCGCGGACAAGACCGCCCGTACCTACTCCCTCTCCGGTTCCTCCGCCGGCGTCCACCACGTATTCGAAGGCCACGAACAAGGAGTTTCCGACCTTGCTTTCTCGTCCGATTCACGCTATCTCGTCACTGGTGCTGATGACCGGACTATTCGCCTCTGGGATGTATCGACCGGAACCCGCATCAGGACTCTCATTGGACATACTAATTTTGTGTTCTGTGTAAATTTTAATCCCCAGTCGAATATGCTTGCTTCGGGTTCGTATGATGAGACGGTTCGCATTTGGGATATTAAGTCTGGGAAGTGTATAAAGGTGCTTCCTGCCCACTCCGACCCGGTGACCGCGGTTAATTTTAATCGGGATGGGACGCTGATTGTTTCGAGTAGCTATGATGGGCTTTGTAGGATTTGGGATGCTTCTACTGGACATTGCATGAAGACTTTGATTGATGATGAACATCCACCTGTTAGTTTCGTGAAGTTTTCTCCTAATGGAAAGTTTATTCTCGTTGGGACTTTGGACAATACTTTGGTAAGTTGCTGTCTTTATGTTTCCTTGTTTGAAAGATTATTTTTTGTCTAAGAGATTGGACTTCTGTATAATTCTTATCCTATTATTGGTTGCTTGAAGATGCCTCTTCGGAAATTTTAAAGTAAAATGCTATGAAAACTTTGTTCGAGATTAATTGGGCGAGTGTTATTTGGAAAGCACTCAATATTTCTTGATAATGGGATTGCTATTTGGTTAGGAATATTTTGTTTTCTTCATTGTTAATTTTTACTTGTATTGGGATCTTGTGTCCTTGAGTGGCTATTAGTTTCTTAGAGTTGCAAGAAGCATTCGGTCAAATTATTTGTCAATTATGTTTAGAATTTAACTGGAAACCTGTATTTGTTTAGTTCCATAAACCCAGGGCATTGATACCGAAAAGCATGCCGGTTTTATCCGAAAGGCTTGACCTAATAACAAATCAGACCTCATAATTTGGTTCAGTCTTTACTGAATTTCGTTGTGTGGCTAGAATAGATCAGTTTTACTGGTAAGAGGCAGGTCTATGATTTGCGTTTTTGTAATACCAGTTCTTATAATTGTTAGTTAGATTCTGAGTCGTGCCATTGTTTGATCCAAAACTTTTCCATCAATATAGGAACTTGGGTTTTGTTCTTTTCCCCTGCCTTACTTGGTTTCTTGCTTTGAAAATTGCCATGGTTCCAAGGACGGCATCATTGCTCATAATGACAAATTAAATGAATTTACTGTTGTGATGTGGTCTTTGTTTATAACCAGTCTTGCTTTAGTTAACATTTAATTTTCTCGGTTATTGATATTAAAAAATAGATATTTACAACAGGATTCTCTGTGTTTTCTTCAGTATACTGTACTTCGCATGCTAGTTCTTTTGAGTTGTTCCAATAGTAGTTAAGTATTATTGATAATCATGGCAATAAATGATAACAATGTTAATATTGATTATGATTTTGTGATGCCTACATACAATAGTATCGGAAGAGATATAACTTGATATAATGGAAGACCCCTAAAAATTTGAATTATAATAATAACATGGAAGTAGTTTATGCCATAAAATGAATCACCTTACAATAGATTTATTTCCTATTTTTAGCATAAACCTGCAAATATGTATTTTCAAACAACTATACTAGATGTGATAATTTATGATTTTGAGTTATCAATCAATGACCTGGAACTCTGCTTCTGATGTTGTGCCACAATTTGACTTTTGGCTCTAAAAACTCCCAAATTCATGCCTGTTAATTCATATGTTCTGCTGTCACATTATAAATACATGGTATCTTTAGGCTTTAGACTTCGTAATAGAATTCTCATTTGCGTTTAAGAAGATATGGAATTCCTTATGTATAAGGTTACTTTATAATTAGAATTCCTAGGTCATATAAACTATTTTATCTCGGAACCTTGAATTCCTGTCTTCAAAACTATTTTAGCTTGGAACCAAACTAAGCCCTTGTTCGAGCCTCATTCTTAAGAACACATTTTCAACCACATATTCTCCCAATTAAATAATTTTGAACGTAGATCCAAATTTTTCCCTCCTTCAAAAATCACTTTTTACAAAATCTTGTCTCAAAAAATGAGACTCAAACAAGGGCTAAATGAAAACATCTCCACCCTAGATTTAATGAAATTTTGCTGCAATGCAAGGCGTGTGCAAATGACTTGGTTTGGTTCAGAAATGGCTTGGCTGGCTATTAATTTTTGACCTTTCTGTTTTCCAATGGTCTCTGTAATTTTTAAAAAATTAAATTAAATATCTCTGTCATTGATGAGATCATTACTTGGGTGCAATCAGTTGAACTGGTAAGAACGCTGGACATGCTGTGACCACTTAACTAGAAGTATATTTTTGGTATTTAAATCTTATACGCATGGTATTATTTGGAATACTAACTCTCTATGTACTCAGAATTGTTGACTGTATTTGTGATGATCTCTTGATACATCTAAATGATTGTGTGAAATATATAGTTATTTCGTTTTAGCAATGAAAAATATATGGGATAAGTAGGTAGGGAGATGTGATTAACATCTTTGATTCTAGTGATTGCTGAAGATACTTCTTTTCCTTTTAGTTATAGCATTAAAGAAACTGTGTTGAGGAAATCATAAAGCAATAAATTTTTTGATTTCGTGAATTATGTTTTTGAATATATATGATCGTAAAAATATAATAACAATAAAAAGTGAATAGTTCATGTATCTGTCTAGTCATCACAGAGATTTGTGGTTTGAGTTTTTAAATCAAGTCAAAACACCATTTCGCCAAGGCATAATAAGTATGAAGCAAATGGATGCATGCCTCCTCTGTATTGTGTCTGGTCTCTTCACTTTTATTTTGGGGTTATATTTTGGACAGTTGTGACAATGTTACGGTTTGACCTCTCTAATGGTTCCTGGTTGTTTAGGACAAGAGACTGGATACGATATAGACTAAAACGCAGCAAAATTGAAACCGTCATCTGCTAGAGAGAGGGCTCAAAACCTTATGGCCCTTTATATATAATTAAGACATTGCTTCTATTATGGATTTATCTATATTCACTGCTATCTCCTGTGGCTTTCTTGTGTATACTTGTTGCATAGCCGACACACTTGTGGGGGTGACAGCTCTAAAATTGTAGCTTCATGCTAGGAAAATGTTGGTGGAAGTTTTTCTTTTTCTTAGCAACCCTTCTAGTTAATGTTCTCCAACTCAATTCTTGAATACTTGTTTACAGCGACTTTGGAACTACTCCACTGGCAAATTTTTGAAAACCTACACAGGCCATGTCAATTCTAGGTACTGCATTTCTTCAGCATTTTCTATAACGAATGGGAAGTATATAGTAAGTGGTTCTGAGGATAACAATGTCTACTTGTGGGAGCTTCAGTCACGAAAAATAGTTCAAAAGCTGGAAGGTCATACGGACACTGTTATATCAGTATCGTGTCACCCAACTGAGAATATGATTGCGTCCGGTGCTCTTGGAAATGATAAGACCGTGAAGATTTGGACGCAAGAGGACTGATATTTTTCGTGGCTGTAATCTTTTTACATAATCGCAACGAGATGGCTCTCTGGAGACCAGAATGGGAACCTTTTGTTTGTAATAGTCTGTTAATATATGTCTAGGCAAGTGCATTGTGGATTAATTTTTTTCAGGAAATCCTGATAGTTAATTGTTTTGAAGTACTCCCTTCCGTTACTCTACCTAATTTAACATTATTCGGATTTCAGGATATTGCTGCTTCGGATTAATATATTTGTTACCCAACTTATTGAAAATTCCATCTCGCTTCTTGGCTCGTGTGTTATGTAATTATCATGGTGGATTCGGGTTTTTGATGTTCTTGGGGGCTGGTAGGCATCCTTGACGAGTTATTAGGGAATATGCAAGTTTTAAGGACTTATTGGGCATGACTCTTACTTTGGCTTCCTGTAGAAGAGCTTTTGGATGAAATTATCTTAATTTTTGTTTGAAAACTAATTTCTAAAAAGCTGCCTATTTTGGGAGGAAATCACATTGGATTTAGGTTTATCCAAAAACTCTTTTAACTAAAAGTACTATAATAAAAGAGTCATGCTATTTAGTCAAATTGGGGTTATAATCACAGTTTATGTATCGTTAATGGGATATTAAATGGTATGTGATTATTTAATTTTATCTTTCATTTAGTCTATTACCTAATATCACATAGATTGAGGTTATAATTTTAATGAAGCTAAATAACATTATTCTTCATAAAAGTAGCCAAACGAGCCCTAAATAACATACAGGGTACTATGAACTTGTTGCTACTGCTGGTCTAAACATGGGGCTGGGCCACAAAACAATATTCGGGCCACGATTGCCCACAAAACAATATTCGGGCAATGATTGTGGGGGCTGGAAAGAATCCGCAGGCGCATGATTTATCTTAGAGGAAATTAGGCTCCATACGTCTCAAATTTGAAAATTTTGAAATTTACGTCCGTGTAGTATTGAACTTTATGTGGGGACAAAAACATATATCATTTACTATATGAAACCCTAATTCTCTCTACGAACCCTATGTGAATTCAGGTTCGATTTTAATCTTCACACACCAACAGTGATTTTGAGCAAATTTGTGCTCAATCTTTCATTTTTTATCCCGTATAGTTAGATTCATGGTTAAAGAAGATGAATTTAATGTCTGCGAGTTGAATTCACCAAGAGAAAACGTGGTGCTACTGAAAGATCTTAATGAAATGTCAATTTGCAGCCTCATAAACTGAATGTTTAAAAAGGAGCAGATACTCCAATTATGAGAGAGATTTTGAGCTAAAAAAATTATTCAAATACACATCAAAACTCGACACATAATATCAACCTCAATTATATAAAAAATAATGCTATCTAACACCACTAATACTAAAATGCCAATCTATATGGCATTAAATAATATACTTAATGAAAGGTAAAATTAGAAGATTTATTTAATTAAACATCTTATTTAATGTCATATTAGTGCCACTTAGACCGATATTTTAATATCAATGATGCTAAATAACATTACTTTTATATCAAACCATAGAATCATCATTTATTGGCCATCTTCTCAGTTTACAAAGTCTTCCTTTTGGTACAATGACCACTCCACTTTTAATCCAGAAGGTGATTTCTCGATATGGAAATCTAGGAAGACAGAAATATGCCAGTAGCCTTTTTATTTTCCTACAAAGGAAACCCCCTTCTCAATGCTTCCAGCCAACTCTTTCTTTGCCTTTTCCAAGCCAACTCTGACAAAACAAAATCATGGAGAAATTCTTATATTCTTCTTGACTTTAAACACAACAACTCGCAATCAACATCAAACGATTTCAGCAATATTTTGACAGACCTCTCATATTCATTTAGAGGACCAAGTGGGTATATCTCTTCAACACCATTTCGACCAAGACGTACTCTTGAAGCNTTTTTTTTCAAAATAATGGCCATCAAATAGGGGCTCAATGTTTGACAAATGGGAACCTGTTATTGACAAGAATTACTGAGTAGATAAGGATTACTAGGGAGGCAAGTTTTTATTGAGACTTATAGTCTTGTAAGCACATTACGGTTTTCATCACTAAATAAATTTGCAGCATGTCTAAGGCACAAGGATCACTTATAAAACTAAAAACACTGACTACATAAAAACCCATTCTAGCGTCAACAACAGGGAAACTAACTAGTTGGTCTAGTCACCGTCCTTCTCTCTCCCTGTAGACCCCCAAAAAGGGTTTATCTTTTTTATCCCCCAGGATCCAATTTGACTAAATCCACTTCAAAGCACGACACAGGATACTTCTATAAGCCGCCAGTGATTACAGGTAGATGACAAGGAAAAATGCTCATTATAGCTTCTTCATACATACTTCATATTTATACATTCTTTGTTTTCCAAAATTCAAACGAGAGAGAGGAAAGAACTTATAATAATCTGGTAATGCTTCTTCCTTATTTTTTATTTATTTATTTTTTTTAATTGGGACTTGAGATAATTGTAGCAGATTTATTAATTGAATCGTTTTAAAAAGCCGTTTGAGGTTTATGCTTAAGCCACTCTCACATGAGACTTTTAATAAATGCTTTGTAAGCCTTGAGTTCCATATATGAGGCTTATGCCTCGAGACAAAGTACAAAGGCAGCAGGAATGTGCTGGTTTGTCTTGCCATTTTCAGGCTTTTTATTATTGGTTTTTCAGGCTTAGCCTAGAATGTTTTATGGGTCTTTTATTTGTGCTGCCTTTACAAAAAAAGGAAAGGGGAAGGACAGGCTCCATAGCAAGTGGAGGATGATTATAAATAATTAGAAGAAACTCGAAGTAATGAGGATGATGATAGTAAATGAATATATTGATGATTATCTTAAACATCTTATTAGTAGTAAAAAATTGGAAGGCCCTGTTAACATTGATAAAAACTAGACTTAAAAGTTATTTCCACTTGGGTAGTAGTTGTCTAACTACTAATTTGAGAAAATAATATTTGCTACTTTATTTCTCTATTTTATTGGTTTGCTTTTGTAATTTTTCGAGATGGTTTATGGTTGATTTGAGATATTTTTGCACTTTTTTTTCTTTTGAATAATTTATTTAATTTGTTGCGAACCTTGTGCCTCAAAACGCCTCATGCATTATGCCTTGCCTCAGAAAGATAAAACATCTGGATAGCTGATCGAGCCATTTCACACATTGATTTTTTAATAATTTCAGGGCTGAAGCTCTCAATTTCAACTCCAAATGCTCAAATTTGTTAGAAAACATTAGTTGGCGTCACAACTAGACTTGATCAGGTTAAACTAATTAACTTGGGCTTTTTACACATTCATCTTACTACAGGCTAAACATCAGTGATCCTCATGCAACTCTAAGTTTACATTTACCACTACCATAGGAATCCACTTGATAAAACAAAGATGTAAGAGTTCAGGGTCAGCATATATAAAGAAATAAGAATTATAAACCTTGTAATACAATTATTCCAGGTAAGAATACATCCTACCTCAACAACTTCGGTTCCACCATTCTGAATACGAGATGTCAGGTACTCAGTTTCTTGTTGGGTGAAAGAACATGGAGGTTTAACCTGCATCCATTGAGACAATTTCTTTCAGAAAGTTACTGTGTATTTCAATGACATTAAACGATAAGTATATTTATTCTGCAAACATGTTCTCAACCTGGGAGAGCAGAGGTAAAATAGTAACACCAGCATGGCCCCCTACAACTGGAACATCAATGTCCCTAGGATCAAGCCCCAAAACTTCAGCCTACAGACCATTATGGAATAGAATCCATGTCAAACAAGATTTTTTATTCCATTGTTAGGATGAAAGTGTGAAGAAACAGTAAAAAGGCACTTGCTCATAAAACATATTTGAACTAGACTATCATGTATTATATAATAATAGCAAAAAGTTTTATCAGCCAACTCACAAATGGATTGTGTGCACCAAAACATTTGATTCTATACCTATTTGCTTGTGAATTCATCGACACATTTTTATCTACAGTGCATGTCTTTTTGTGTGTAAAAGAAAAAATAAATGAAAGGAAAAACTTGTAAGTCACTACAAAAATAACCATCAAAATATACAAACAAATCAAAGAATTGTAAAGATACAAATAGGTGAAACACACTATCACAATGTTAAAGGCACCTTTACTAAATTAAAATAGAATACACAGAGATCAACATGCCAAAGTAAACAAATTTTACCACAAAGGTATTAGCTCTGACAACATCAAGCATCGTGACTCCCAAAAGTCTTCTTGGATCATAGGTGCCAGCCTTTTTGAAAACCTCAGCTGCAATTGGAACTGTCGAGTTCACAGGATTACTAATAAGGTTAACAATGGCCTTTGGACAGCACTTTGAAATCCCTTCACATAGGGTCCTAACTATTCCTGCATTGATGTTGAAAAGATCATCTCTTGTCATCCCAGGTTTCCTGGGCACACCAGCAGGAATGATTACGAGGTCCATGCCAGTAAGGGCATCCTCCAATTGTTGTTGCCCCAGAAAACCACGAACCTGGACATCCAAATATATAATTAAACTTTATGTGCCAATGTTTAGACCTATTTATCAATTTTACAGATAGGCATCAATATTAATTAATTTTTTACTTCTAATGGAAGAAACTTGTGGGAGAAGAAGGCCAACACATTCCTGCTGAATAGTTTTTACTTTCTTGCAAGTGAATTTACTATTTGGGACCAAATCATTCAATTGATTTTCCCCTAACTCTGATCCACTCCATCCAAATTTAACATCCCATGTGTTATTTCTCAACTCTTACTTTTTGGTGATATTCCGGGATTTATCTTCACTTCAACACACTAGTTACAGCATTGATACTTATTCCAACAATCCCTTTTAGTTATTGGAACTACGGAGCTTAAGTTTTGAGATCTCGTGAAGGTTACAAGAAATTTGTTAGATTTAGGATTGAACTTGATTTCTTAAATCCCGCAGGCTTTGATGACTCCAAACAAGTAAAGTCCTCTTAAATATAAATTTGTCTAGAGTTATGGAAGAGTACAACTCATGAGACTTTCACCTCTACATTAGTCATCAACATAGAGACTGAAACATCAGAATTGAAACAGAGTGCAAAGTCACATATGTTCATACTAGACATTTGAGATTTGAGTGTTTCAATAAGAGTTAAAGCCTAAGAAAAACAAGGGGAAATGGGCATCCAAAACGTAGATAATCAAAGACACGACAACAAGAATACACCTGACACAGGAAACCACACTGAAGTAAGATGTGGTATCGAGATCAAGTGCTAAAGCTGAAATCAGAGCAATGGCTCAAAGAATATGTGAATGATTGTGGTTAAAAA